TTCACCAGTCTGGACCCTGGGTGTAGACCTACACCACTAATCAGCCATGCTGTAGTGGCAACCCACACAAAAAATAGAGCAAGACTGGCACAAATGTTAGCTCAGGGCTAATCTTCCTCAAGCAAAAAAAAAAAAAAAGAGGAAGATTGGCAAGAGATGTTAGGTAAGGGTGAATCTATGTCAGAAAAAAATCTTCTGCCAAAACAGAAGTCCAGGACCAGATGACTTCTCTGAAGAATTCTACCGAGCAATCAAAGAAGATTTAATACCTATCCTTCTCAAATTATTCCAAAAAGTTGAAGAAGATGGAACACTTCCTAACTCATTCCATGAGGTGAACATCACCCTGATACCAAAAACAGACAAGGACAACACAAAAAAAGAAAATTACAGGCCAACATCGCTGATGAAGATAGATGCAAAAATCCTCAACAAAATATTGGCAAATCGAATACAGCAATACATCAAAAGGATCATACACCATGATCAAGTAGGATTTATTCCAGGGATGCAGGGATGGTTCAACAACTGCAAATCAATTAATCTGCTAAACCACATTAACGAAATGGAGAATAATCATCACATGATCATCTCAATAGACGCAGAGAAAGCATTTGACAACATCCAACATCCATTTATGATAAAAACTCTGAATAAAATGGGTATAGAAGGAAAGTACCTCCACAAAATAAAGGTCAGATATGACAAACCCACAGCTAATATCATTCCGAGTGGAGAAAAACTGAAAGCTAACCCTCTAAGAACAGGAACCAGACAAGGATGCCCACTGTCACCACTCTCATTTAACATAGTGTTGGGAGGCCTAGCCAGAGCAGTCAGGCAAGAAGAAGAAATAAAAGGGTTTCAAATTGGAAAGTAAGAAGTGAAATTGTCACTATTTGCAGATGACATGATTTTATGTCCTAAAGAATGCACCAAAAAACTTTTAGAAATAATCAATACAGTAAATTTGCAAGATACAAAACCAACATACAAAAATCAGTTGCATTTCTATACACTAACAATGAAGTAGCAGAAAGAGAAATTAAGAATACAGTCCCATTTACACTCGCAACAAAAAGAATAAAACACCTAGGAATAAACTTAACCAAAGTGGTGAAAGATCTGTACACTGAAAACTAGAAAACATTGTTGAAAGAAATTCAAAACACAAGGAAATGGGAAGATGTTCTATGCTCTTGGATTGGAAGAATTAACATAGTTAAAATGCTCATATTTCCTAAAGCAATCTACAGATTCAGTGCAATCTTTATCAAAGTTCCAACAACATTTTTCACAGAAATAGAATAAAGAATCCTAAAATTTATATGGAACAAGACCCCAAATAGCCAAAGGAACCCCGAGAAAAAAGAACAAAGCCAGAGGCATCACAATCCCTGATTTCAAAATACACTACAAAGCTATAGTAACCAAAACAGCATGGTACTGGCACAAAAACAGACACACAGATCAATGGAACAGAATCAAGAGCCCAGAAATAAACCCACACATCTATGGACAGCTAATTTTCGACAAGAGAGCCAAGAACATACAATAGAGAAAGGAGTCTCTTCAATAAATGGTGCTGGGAAAACTGGACAGCCACAAGCAAAAGAATGAAAGTAGACTATTGTCTTACATCATACACAAAAATTAACTCAAAATGGATTAAAGACTTGAATATAAGACCTGAAACCATGAAACTTCTAGAAGAAAACACAGGCAGTATACTCTTTGACACTGGTCTTAGCAGCATATTTTCAAATACCATGTCTGACTGGGCAAGAGAAACAATAGAAAAAATAAACAAATGGGATTACATCAAACTAAAAAGCTTCTGCACAGCAAAGGAAACCATCGACAAAAGGAAAAGACAACCTAACAATTAGGAGAAGATATTTGCAAACCACATATCTGACAAGGGATTAATATCCAAAATATATGAAGAACTCATACATTTGAACAACAAAAAAACTAACAGTCAAATTTAAAAATGGGCAAAACATCTGAACAGACATTTCTCCAAAGAAGATATACAGATGGTCAATGGGCACATGGAAAGATGCTCACCATCATTAACTGTCAAGGAAATGCAAATCAAAACTACAATGAGATATCACCTCACACCCGTCAGAATGGCTATAATTAACAAGTCAGGAAACAACAAGTGTTGGAGAGGATGTGGAGAGGAGGGAACCCTCGTACACTGCTGGTGGGAGTGCAAACTGGTGCAGTCACTCTGGAAAACAGTAAGGAGATTCCTCAAAAAATTAAGAATACAACTATCATACCATCCAGCTATTCCACTGCTGGGTATTTATCCAAAAAACATGAAAACATGAACACATGAAGATACATGTACCCCATATTCATTGCAGCATTATTCACTATAACCAAGACTTGGGAGCAACCTAAATGCCCACCAAGGAACGAATGGATAAAGAAGATGTGGTATATACACACAATGGAATTCTACTCAGCCATAAGAAACGATGAAATCTGGCCGTTTGTGACAGCACAGATAGACATTGAAGGTATTATGCTAAGCAGAATAAGTCAGAGGGAAAAAGCCAAATACTGTATGATCTCACTAATAAGTCGAAGATAAAAACAACAAACAATCACAGAGAGACAGAGACTGGATTGGTGGTTACCAGAGGGGAAGCGAGTAGGCAGGAGGGCAAAAGGGGTGCCTAGGCACATGTGTGTGATGATGGATTGCAATTAGTCTTTGGGTGGCCAACACGACGTAATCTACACAGGAATCAAAATATAATGATGTACACCTGAAATTTATATAATGTTATAAACCAATGTTAACACAATTTTTAAAATTTTTAAAAAACAAAAACAAACAAAAGAAAACAATACCATTTACAATTGCAACAAAAAGAATAAAATATCTAGGAATAAACTTAACCAAGGAGGTGAAAGACCTATACACTGACAACTATAAGACATTGTTCAAAGAAATCAAAGAGGACGTAAAGAAATGGAGACATATTCCATGCTCACGGATTGGAAGAATAAACCTAATTAAAATGTCCATACTACCTAAAGCAATCCACAGATTCAATGCAATCCTGATCAGAATCCCAATGACATTCTTCACAGAAATAGAACAAAGAATCTTAAAACGTATGGAAGGAGAAAAAATGCAGAACAGCCAAAAGCAATCCTGAGAAAAAAGAACAAAACTGGAGGCATCACAATCCCTGACTTCAAAATGTACTACAAAGCTACAGTAATCAAAACAGCATGGTACTGGCACAAAACAGACACACTGATCAATGGAACAGAACAGAAAGCCCAGAAATAAAACCACACATCTATGGACAGGTAATCTTCAACAAAGGAGCCAAGAACATACAATGGAGAAAGGAAAGCCTCTTCAGTAAATGGTGTTGGGAAAATTGGACAGCCACATGCAAAAGAATGAAAGTAGACCATTATCTTACACCAGACACAAAAATTAACTCAAAATGGATTAAAGACTTGAAGGTAAGACGTGAAACCATAAAATTCCTAGAAGAAAATATAGGCAGCACACTCTTTGACACTGGTCTTAGCAGCATCTTTTCGAAAACCATGTCTGCTCAGGCAAGGGAAAGAAAAAACAAACAAAGGGGACTATATCAGACTGAAAAAACTTTTGAAAGGCAAAGGAAACCAGGAATAAAATGAAAAGACAACCCACCAACTGGGAGAAAATATTGGCAAATCATGTATCTGATAAGGGGTTAATTTCCAAAATATATAAAGATCTCATACAACTCAAAAACAAACAAAACAAGCAACCCAATCAAAAAATGGGCAGAGGATCTGAACAGACATTTTTGCTAAGAAACTATACAGGTGGCCAACAGGCACATGAAAAGATGTTCAACATCACTTATTACTAGGGAAATGCAAATCAAAACCACAATGAGGGGCTGGCCCGGGGGCACAGCAGTTAAGTTTGCAAATTCCTCTTCTTGGCGGCCCCAGGTTCACCGGTTGGGATCCCGGGTGTGGACATGGCACCGCTTGGCAAAGCCATGCTGTGGTAGGCGTCCCACATATAAAGTAGAGGAAGACGGGCACGGATATTAGCTCAGGGCCAGTCTTCCTCAGCAAAAAGAGGAGGATTGGCAGCAGATGTTAGCTCAGGGCTAATCTTCCTTAAAAAAAAAAAAACTACATGAGATATCACCTTACACCTGTTAGAATGGCTATAATTAACAGGACAAAAAATAACAAATGTTAAGAGGGTGTGGAGAAAAGGGGATCCTCTTACACTGCTGTTGGGAATGCAAACTGGTGCAGCCACTGTGGAAAAGAGTATGGAGATTTATCAAAAAATTAAAAACAGAAATACCATATCACCCAGCTATCCCACCACTGGGTATTTATCAAAGAACTTGAAATCAACAATTCAAAGAGACTTAGTCACCCCTATGTTCACTGAAGCATTATTCACAATAGCCAAGATGTGGAAGCAACCCAAGTGCCTATCGACTGATGAATGGATAGAGAAGATGTGGTGTATATATATACAATGGAATATTATTCAGCCATAAAAAAGGCAAAATTGTCCCATTTGCAACAACATGGATGAACCTTGAGGGTATTACATTAAGTGAAATAACAGAGAAAGACAAACAGTGCATGATTTCATTCATCTGTGGAAGATAAACAAACACATGGAGAAAAAGAACAGATTAGTGGTCACCAGAGGGGAAGGGAGTTGGGGGTGGTGAAGGGGTAAAGGGGCACATTTATATGGTGACAGATAAAAACTAGACTATTGGCAGTGAGCACAATGCAGTCTATACAGAAACTGATAAATAAATAATGTACACCTGAAATTACACAGTGTTATAAACCATTATGACCTCAGTCAAATAACTGGGGGAAAAAACAAAATAAAAGCCAAAGTAAATACTGAGGCTTTTTCAAACCTGGGAGTTCTCAGGGGCGGAGTTGCTGGGGAGAAAGGGTGGCACCAAATAAAAGGATACTAAACGAAGGAGGACCCATCATAGAAAGTGTAATGCAACTTGCTGACCTTCTTGGCTGACTTGATGTCCTGTGACTGCCGGTTGAAGTGAGGATGGTGGGAGGCAGGGTGGTGGGGGGCGGGAGTGGAAGTGTGAGCACCAAGAGGGTGAGCGGGATGGGAGCTCAGGGGCTGAACGTCTCCTTTCAGGCCCGTCAATGAATGAGAGGGTATATTTGCCCTGTAGTTGCGTAAGATCACGGGGTAGGAGAGATTCCTCTCTTTCCATGCGGCCCTCTCGGCTTCTCTGCAGGGAAGGAGACCAACAAACCTTCTAGCTACTTGGCTCTCACTCACCAGGGCGGCTCCCTCCAGCCCCGCCCCAGCTCCCAAGACTCCCATCCATTTCCCCATCCCCAAAGTACCCCTGTCCCCACCCCGTCCCCTTCATCCTTAAAGGTAGTATTTCAGGGGACCCCTCTGAGCCCAGTCCTCGCCGGATTTCCACCTTCAGTGCTGGGGTGAGGACCTATAGAGAGGGAGTGTGTGCAGAAACGGGGCCTTGGGGGGCTGGAGGCTTCGCTCCCTCCCCAGTTCTGAGGTTACAGGAAAGAGAGCTCCCATCCAGAGCGTTACAGTAAGGGGCACACGGAGTGGCTGCCCTCTATCCGCGTTCTGTAGCTGCAAAAGTACTCAATGGTCCAGGAAGCCCACGACATACACGGCTTAGATGTGACTAGGTTTTAAATCCTTTACAGCCCGTGGTCTGGGCCTTCGGAGAAATGCAGACTAACTTGCTAGGATTTGGGGACCCGCCAAATCATAAATGTCACTTATCACCCATGTCACTGTTTTTCGTTTGTTTTCAGAGGTGCTTCTCTTTTCTGTAGGAGAATATCTGACAAACTATGTTAAGAAATAAACATTCAGGGCACAAAGGCTGCAAACGGTAAGAAGCTCTGCAAAGGGGCATCACTGGTGAGGAGACGAAGAGCAAAGACCACCAAGCTGTGGGACCTCACGCCATGCCTTACCCTCCTGCTCGGGCTGCCTCAGTTTCCTGATCAGCAAAATGGGCACCCGTCCCCTCTTCCCCATAAGGTTGTAGTAAGGACTGAAAAGGACTGTGAGTGGGAAAGGACTGGGGACATGCATGCGTGTGAGGGACGGCCACCCCTGTCCCTGTCATTGGGGGCCCTGGGTAGCCGAGACTTCCCCTCAGACACTTCCATGATTTCAGGCACACACAGGCGACTGCTGCCCACGCCATCCTCTCCCATCCACCCCCACCACTGAGGTGCTCACATACGGCGACACAACTCCTGCAGCTTCCCCCGGGCCTCGGGGCAGGGGTCGCTGAGCTGGGTGCTGTCAGAGGCAGAGGTCCCGGGGCCTCGGTGGCGGGGCGGTGTGGTGGGCTCTTCCACATTTTTCAATTTCCCTGTAATTGGAGATGAAGACGTTATGGAGGGCTTTTAGAAAATGGTCTCCCCAGATGCTGTGTCCACCTGAGGGTGAGCGGTGGGGAGAGCAGGACAGCGGCACCGCCTGAGAATCAAACTAATTGGGGAATTGTTTATGCTTCCCGGGCAGGTCACTCATGAAACAGAGACATCGCTCTGTGAGTCCACTGAGCCTGCGTCAGGAACAGACCGTGCAGAGTGGCGAATCCAGCTGTGTTTGCCAGACTAGTTCTAGTGAGCAGAGCACAGACGTGGCTGCCACGGACGCTGAAGTGATTCCCTTCTGATACCTCTGATCAAAGACAAAACGTCCCAGGGGGTCAGCACTGCCCTGGCGTTGGCTGATCTCAGGCCTTCTGCAGAGGGCAGTGTGTCGATTGAGACTTGCACTGCAATTTTTTTAAATAACTGTGGTAAAATACACATAAAAATTTACCATCCTAATCATTTATTTATTTATTTGGTGAGGAAGATTGGCCCTGAGCTAACATCTGTTGTCAATCTTCCTTTTTTTTTTTCCTCTCCAAAGTTCCCTAGGACATAGTTGTGTGTCCTAGTTGTAGTATATCCTTCTAATTCTTCTATGTGGGACGCCACCTCAGCACGGCCTGATGAGCGATGCCAGGTCAGCGCCCAGGATCCAAACTGGGGAACCCCGGGCCACCAAAGCAGAGTGCACGAACTTAACCACTCAGCCACAGGCTGGTCCTAACCATCTTAATCATTTTTAAGCGTACACTTCAGTCGTATGAAATACATTCACATTGTTGTATAGCCATCACCACCATCCATCTCTACAGCTCTTTTCTTCTTGTAAAATTAAAACTCTCTACTCATTAAACAATAACTCTCCATTCTCCACTCCCCCCGGGCCCTGGTGGCAACCACTGTTCTACCTTTTGGCTTTATAGTTTTGACTACTCTAAGTAGAACCATACAGCATTTGCCTTTTTGTCACCGGCTTATTTCATGCAGCATAATGTCCTCAAGCTTCATCCATGTTGTAGTATGTATCAGAATTTCCTTCCTTTTTAAGTCTTAGTAATATTCTATTGCATGTATAGACCACATTTTCTTGATGCACTCATCCACTGATGGATGCTTGGGTTGCTTCCACATTTGAGCTATTGTGAATAATGCTGCTATGAAGATGGATGTGCAAATATCTCTTCAAGATTATGCTTTCAATTTTTTTTTTTTTTTTGGCGAGGAAGGTTGGCCCTGAGCTAACATCTGTCGCCAATCTTCCTCTTTTTGCTTGAGGAAGACTGTCACTAAGCTAACATTTGTGCCAATCTTCTTCTATTTTGTATGCAGGATGCCGCCACAGCATGGCCTGACAAGCAGCGTGTATGTCTGTGCCCAGGATCCGAACCCACAAACCTTGGGCAGCTGAAGTAGAATGCTTGAATGTAACCACTATGCCACTGGACCAGCCCCTCAATTCTTTTGAGTATATACCCAGAGGTGGAATTTCTGGATCTTATGGTAATTCCATTTTTAATCTTTTGAGGAACTCCCGTAGAGTTTTCCACAGTGGCTGCACCATTTTACCTTCCCACCAGCAGTGCACAAGGTTTCCAACTTCTCCTACATCCTCTCCAGCTCTTGTTGCTTTCTGTTTTTTTGATAGTAGACATCCTACCGGGGGTGAGGTAGTATCTCGTTGTAGTTTTGACTTGCCTTTCCCTAATGATTAGTGATGTTGAGCATCTTTTCCTGTGCTTATTGCCATTTGCTTATCTTCTTTGGAGAAATGTCTATTCAAGTCCTTCGCCCATATTTGAATCAGGTTGTTTGTTGTGGTTGAGTTTTAGAACTTCTCTATATATTATGGGTATCAATCCTTTATCAGATATATGATATGCAAATATTTTCTCCTATTCTGTGGGCTCCCTTTCTACTCTGTGGACAGTGCCTTTTGATGCATAAACTTTAAAAATGTTCATGCAGTCTATTTTTAGTCTATTTTTTCTTTTGTTGCCTGTACCTTTGGTGTCATATCCAAGAAATCATCACCAAATCCAAGGTGATGAAGCTTTTATCCTATGTTTTCTTCTAAGAGTTTTATTGTTTTACTTCGTATATTTAGGTCCTTGATCCATTTTGAGTTAATTTTTGTATATGGTGTTGGTAAGGACCCACTTCATTCTTTTGCATGTGGATATACAGGTTTCCCAGCATCATTTGTAGAAAAGACTGTCGTTTCTCCACTGAATTCTCCTGGCACTCTTGTCAAAAATAATTTGACCACACACGCAAAGATTTATTTTTGAGGTCTCCAGTCTATTTCACTGGTTTATACATCTGTCTTAATGCCGATGCCACACTGCTTTGATTATTGTAGATTTGTAGTCAGTTTTGAAATCAAGAAGTGTGAGTCCTCCAGTCTGGTTCTTTTTCAAGATTGTTTTGGCTATTTGGGGGTCCCCTGAGTTTCCATATGAATTTTAGGATGAATTTTTCTATTTCTGCAAAAAACATCACTGGGATTTTGATAAGGATTGCACTGAATCTGTAGCTGTCTCTGAATAGCACTGATGTGTTAACAATATTAAGTCTTCCGATCCATGAACATGGGATGCTTCCATTTATTTGTCTTCTTTAATTTCTTTCAACAATGTTGTATAGTTTTCATCGTACAAGTCTTTCGCCTCCTTGATTAAGTTAATTCCTAAGTATTTTATTCTTTTTATACTATTGTAAATGGAATTGTTTTTGTAGTGTCCTTTTCAGCTTGTTCATTGTTTGTGTATAGAAATGCAACTGATTTTTGTGTGTTGAGTTTGTATCCAGCTACTTTGCTGAATTCATTTACTAGTTCTAAGAGTTTTTTCGTGGAATCTTTCGGGTTTTCTACATATAAGATCATATCATCTGCAAACAGAGATAATTTTAATTCTTCCTTTCCAATGTGGATGCATTTTATTCCTTTTCTTATCTAATTTCTCTGGCTAGAACTTCTAGCATTATGTTGAATAGAAATGGTGAAAGCAGGTGTCCTTGCCTTTGTTCCTGATCTTAGAGGAAAGGCTTTCAGTCTTTCACCATTGAATATGATGTTTGCTGTGGGTTTTTCATATATGACTTTTATTATGTGACGGTAGTTTCCTTCTACTTTTAGTTTGTTGAGTGTTTTTATCAGGAAAGGGTGTTGAATTGTCAAATGCTTTGTCTGTGGCAATTAAGACGATCATGTGGGGGGTTTTTTCCTTCATTGTGTTAACTGCTGTATTACATTGATTGAGTTTATGTATGTTGAACCATCCTTGCATTTCAGGAATAAATCCCACCTGGTGTCATGGTGTATAATCCTTTTAATATGCTGTTGAATTCTGTTTGCTAGTATTTCATTGAGGATTTTTGCATCAATGTTCATAAGGGATATTGGTCTGTAGTTTTCTTTTCGTGTAGCGTCTTTGTCTAGTTCTGGTATCAGGGTAATGCTGGCCTCATAGAATGAGTTGGGAAGTGTTCTCTCTTCAATTTCATGGAAAAGGTTGAGAATGATTGGCATTAGTTCTTTAAATATTTGGTAGAATTCATTCAGGTCCAGGGTTTTTCTTTCTTGGGAAATTTTTGATTACTCATTCAATCTCCTTACTATTTATAAGTATATTCAAATATTTATTTCTTCAGGATTTAATCTTGGTAGGTTTTGTGTTTCTAGGAATTTGTTCACTTCATGTAGGTTATCCAATTTGTAGGTGTACAATTGTTCACAGCACTCTCTTATGATCGTTTTTATTTCTGTAGAATCAGAAGTAGTGTCCCCACTTTCAATTCATTTTAGTAATTTGAGTCTTCTCTCTTTTTTTCTTAGTTGATCTAGCTAAAAGTTTGTCAACTGATCTGTTGATCTTCTTGAATAATCAACTCTTGGCTTCACTCATTTTCTCTACTGTTTTGTTTATTCTCCGTTTCATTTCTCTCTGCTCTCATCTTTATCATTTCCTTCCGCTAGCTTTGGGTTTAGTTTCCTCTTCTTTTTCTACTTCCTTAAGTTGTAAAGTTAGGTTGTTTATTTGAGATCTTTCTTGCCTTTTAATGTAAGCATTTATAACTATAAACTTCTCCTTTAGTACCACTTTCACTGCATGCCATAAGTTTTGGTATGTTGTGTTTTCATTTTCATTCATCTCTAAGTATTTTCTAATTTCCCCTGTGATTTCTTCTATGATCTGTTGGTTGTTTAAGAGTGTGTCATTTAATTTTCACAATTTTGTGAATTTTCCAGTTTTCCTTCTGTTATTGATTTCTAACTTCATCCCATTGTGGTCAGAGAAGATACTTTGTATGGTATCTATGCATTTCAATCTATTAAGACTTAATTTGTGGCCTAACACATGATCTATCTTGGAAAATGTCCTACGTGCACTTGAGTTTTCTCAAGTGTATTCTGTTTTGCTGTTTGCGTTCTGTATGTGTCTGTTAGAGCTAGTTAGTTTATTGTGTTATATAAGAGCTCTATTTCCTTATTTATTTTCTCTCTAGTTGTTTTTTTCATTACTGTGAATAGGGTACTGAAGTTTCCAACTATTATTGTAAAACTTTCTATTTCTGTCTTTAATCTGTCAGTTTTTGCTTCATGTATTTTCCTGGTCTGTCATTAGGTGCATAAACGTTTACAATTGTTTTATCTTCTTGCCGTATTGAAGCTTTAATTAATATATAATGTCCTTCTTTGTCATTTGTAACTTTTTTTGATTTAAAGTCATTTTGTCTGATATTAGCATAGCCACACCTATTCTCTTTTGGTTACTATTTGTATGGAATATCTTTTTCCATCCTTTCACGTTCAACCTGTTTGTGTCTTTGGATCTCAAGTGAATCTCTTGTAGACAGCATATAGTTGGATCATGTGTTTTTATCCATTCTGCCAATTTGTCTTTTGATTGGAAAGTTTAATCCATTTGTATTTAAAGTAATTACTGATAATGAGGGACATCTGTCACTGTGCTATGTGTTTTCTATATGCCTTGTAGTTTTTGTCCCTCATTTCCTGCATTACTGTCTTGTTTGTGTTGAGTTGAATTTTTGTAGTGAAATCTTTCAATTCCTTTCTCATTTTCTTTTTTGTGTATAACCATTTTCTTTGGGGTTACCATGGGAATTATATTTAACATCCTAAAGTTATAACACTCTAATTTGAATTTTCACCAGCTTAACTCAATAACATACAAAAATTCTCCTCCTTTACACCCTTGTTCCTAGCTCTTTTAGTTGTTGATGTCATAAAATTACATCTTTATATATTATGTGCCCACCAACATAAACTCACAAATCTTTTAAATGTATTAGTCTTTTAAATTATGTAGAAATCAAGATTTGCAGTTAAAAGCCAAAGTTACAGTAATCGTAGCTCTTACACTAATAATATTTTTTCTTTAAATGTATTAGTCTTTCAAATCATGTAGGAAACAAAAAATGCAGTTACAAACCATTGTCACAATAATACTAGCTTTTATAATTGCCCATGTGTTTACGTTTATTGAGATCTTTATTTCTCCATATGGCTTTGAGATATATCTAGTGTCCTTTCATTTCACCTTGCAGGACTCCCATAAGATCTGCAGAGGAGGCCTAGTGGGCACGGATTCCCTCAGGTTTTTTTTTTATCTTGGAATGTCTTAACATCTCCCTCACTTTTAAAGGACGGTTTTGCTGAATATAGGATTCTTGGTTGACAATTTTTTTCCTTTAGCACTTTGAATACAGTCACGCACTGCTTAATGACAGAGATATATTCTGAGAAAGGCATCATTAGGTGATTTCGTCATTTTGCCAACAACATAGAATGTACTTACACAAACCTAGATGGTAAAGCCTACTACACACCTAGGCTATATGGTACTAATCTTATGGGACCACTGTCACATATGTAGTCTGTCATTGACTGAAATGTCATTAAATGGCACATACTGTATGCTGGCCCAGTGCTTTCTGGCTTCCAAAGTTTCTGAAGAGAAATCTACCGATAATCTTATTGCGTATTTCTTGTAGTAACAACTTGCTTTTCTCTTGCTGCTTTCAAGATTCTTTGTCTTTTAAAAGTTTGATTATAATGTGTCTTGTGTGGGTCTCTATGAGTTCATCTTACTTGGAGTTTGTTAAGCTTCTTTGATGTTTATATTTATGTCTTTCATCAAAAAAATGGGGAAGTTTTTAGCCATTATTTATTCAAATATTCTCTCTGTCCCTTTCTCTCTCTCTTCTCCTTCTGGGACTCCCAAAATGCATATGTTATTCCTCTTGATGGTGTCCCTTAGGCCCTGTTCATTTTTTTTCAATCTTTTCTTTCTCTTCTTCAGATTCAATAATTTCCATTGTCCTATCTTCAAGTTCACTGAGCCTTTCTTCTGCCTGCTCAAATCTGTGGATGGAGATGTTTTGTGCTTATTGCACTTATTTTCACAGTGATCTCCTGTGGCAAGTGTTAGGTGGTATGAGGATTTGGTGACATGAAATCGTGGAGGTGATCCTCCATGACAGAAGTTCCAAAGGCATCTATTCAGGTCCTGCCTGCTTCCTAGCCTCTGCTGCCTACCTGGCTGGATCCACTTGCTCTCCCTCAATATATGCAGGCTCAACTTCACCTTGGTCTCAAGAATGAAACCTGGCTTCAGGCCAAGGGCATTGTTCAGGCTCCAGCTGAGCCCTGAAGGCCGAAGAATGGAGACTTCCTCACTGTCAGCCAAGTCTTGGGGGTTTCCGGTGGTGCTTGGGTACCACCTCTGGTATCTGCCACCCTGAATGGTTCCTGGTCCCTTCCCCCATTCCTCCCACCACCAGAGACCAGAGACAACCCTGAGGCCCAGCTACCAGCTGGCTGAACTCATGAAACATCTACTAGCCTGAGCATCCATGTCTGGCCTGCCCCTGGTTGCCTTGGGGCCTCAAGACAACAGACTTCTCTCAGTTCTATTTCGTAAATTTGGGCTACTTTCCAGAAACAGTTGTTGTCTCCTCATGGAGTAGGCCCAACTCCTGGAGCCTGTGTGTTCCAAGTCTGCCTGGTCCTGTACCTGCAAAGGGGGCCAGCTGGTGAGGTGTGATAGCACGTGTACATGGAACAGATAGTGCAAGTCCCAAACCCAAAGTGACTCAATACACTACAATATATTGTCCCAACTGGGGAAGTCCCTAGAGTGAGAATGGGGATAATTAATAGTTATGTCAGGATGATAAACATAAACTGGGACATTCCTGGGCAAGAGAGGACACACGGTTACTATATACCATTAGGGAAGGTTAACCACCCATCCTAGCATGCATGTGTAAGAGTAATCCCAAACACTATCAAGAACCTACAAGAAATGCAGCACCACTGAGCACACATCCTAGTGCAATTTTTTGCAACAAGATCATAACAATTGTATCTTAGTGGGGTAGTTTTCCTTCAAAGGAACTGTGTCAATTTAGGGCCAGCTCAGGAGGGGAGAAGATAAAACCAGGAGCACACCAAATGGGATATCAGAAATGATTCTATGGGTTATTGAACAATGAAAGAAAACGTATTGTAGAGGTAATGGAACCAGGGAAACGAGAGAGGGCAGCTGAATCCACTCCATGCAGGGAAGCTGAGGCTGTCAACTCTATCAGGGAAGGCATTCTTTGTCTTAGAGTCCACATGTGTGCCCCCAGCATTTAGGACAGTGACTGACAACTAGCAACTATTCAGTACACATTTGTTCACTGATTGAAAGCATATAGGATCAGTTTGATACAGAGGGTGAGGCCTGGAGGAAGGGAAATCACACAGCCAGTCAGGGGCGGGGTCCAAACTTCTCAACTTCCAGCCTTACCTCCAGTGTCCGTGGGAATCAATTGGACAGCCTTTGAGCATTCCCACCTTATGTGGATCCTCCCACCATCTCTTTGCAAATACAGTCCTCCCCCACCTACCCCATTTCACCACTCTGCCATCATAGCCTGGGGGCCCTGGAAGTTCCAAGAAGTCTTGCCCTGCCCTCTCCAGCTCCAACTTCTCTCTCCCCTGAGCTTCTGGCTGCACAGTTGTTGCCATATTGTTTGGTCTCATCTGCCACCGGTTCTTTCCCTTAAGCGTTTCTTTCTGTTGTGTGTCTTTCTCAATAGCATAGGAATGAATGCCTTCTGTCTTTGTTTTCTGCCTGCACGAACTGGCCTAGTTTGGGACACTGTTAGGTTTAGTGTGCAAACACCTCTCTTCAGATACTGGTTCTCCTACTTGCTGTGTGAGTATGGGCAACACAGATCTCTCTCTGAGCAGATAGGGTGAGTTTGGGATATTGTAGGAGGTGGGAGATGAGGGTTCGATAGGGGTGTTGTCCCAGTAGAGGGGAACCACCTCACCAGGAATGGAGGGCGTATAAGCATTCAAACCAGGAGACTGCCCTGTGGAATGACTGGTTGAGACGTATCAGCTTTCACGGGAAAGAACCTGTGTCGATAGCTGCTGAGTCTCCAGCCAGGGGAGCTATATATCTTTCCTATCAGAAAACTAAGTCAAACCAACCCATGAACCTACTCAGGGAATCTTCTAGCCCCCTCCCCACCCCCTTCTCCACCCCTGAAGATGGGTCAAGAGGTCTTGCTGGAAACCACTGTTACCTGTTTTCTTCTTGACTTCCCTTCCAGTTGAGAGGGAAAAGCTCAGACAGCCAGTAGCAGGTTCGTAGATAAGCTGGTAAGGAGAGTCCACGCCAATGGCGGAGATGTTGATGGGGGACTCTGGAGTGGAAGAGAGAGATTCTTCTTTTTTTAATTTTTTTAACCAAAAATGTAATATGGATTTTTTTGTTCTGACAGTATGGTAGACCAGATATTCTCAAGTGCCTTGTTGTTAAAAAAAACCCAGATCTTGGAGGGAAAGACTTTTTAATGCACGAGTGGCTGAAAGTAATTAAGGGAAACCTTTAAGGTTCCCCTCTACAGGGTCCCGCCTCCCATATCTCCCAAGAGTGAAATGACACCAGAGCAGGGAGCAGCAAGCACTCAAGGTGTTGTCACCCTACGGGCTACTGCAGATGTAAGCGCTGCGCTAGGTCAAGAGAATACACCTCGGGCCAGCCAGAAGGAAATGTATAGTCGTCTATTTCCCCTCATCCAAGCCACAGAAATCAGATGCTTCTCCAACAACAGATCAGTCTCCAGCAGAATCACACTCTCCTGTGTAGAATCATTTGATATCTGGCCACGCAAGAATTAAAATTGAGCACCCCCATCACTCGTAGAAAATCTTGATCATTCTTAAATGACAAACTTCATCAAATCTTTGCTTATTTTCCCCCAAATATGGTTATTTAACTGATTAGGCATGAAATTGTTAGGAAATGTTAAGCAATTCATTCACTGACATGACTCATTCAAATTCATAAAGAAAATGGCAAACCTGACCTCACGAGTAGACAAAGATTATAAGCAGAGACGCACACTGGATGATGCAGACACGCCAACAGTCACCTTTGCTGGTGATCCCAAGGCTGGAATGGGAACAGCTTCAGTACCTCCAACTTAGCAGAAATGAAAAGAACTAACAATAGCAACGCTGGTAAAGATGGAATAAAATTAGCCAACTCTGGTGGGGTCGAGCAAATCCACCGAGAAAGCAAGCTATACACATATCGAGACCCTCTGCCTCAATAACCCCTCTCCCGGGAAACCAATCTTAATAGGCAATGCAACAGAGAGAAGAAGTGAGGTACACAAAGCTGCATATCATAATACACATTGTACTCATAACAAAAACCTGGAAACCTAAGCATTTGGTTAATTACGAAACATGAATGTTAGAAGGAGTCAACACCCACTCAAAGGGATAACTATTCAAGTATATAGCCATGTTGGAAAACATTTGTGCCTGTTAAGTAAAAGAAACTGAGAAACAGAAAAATTGCTGTATTCTTAAAAACCTGGATCTCTCTCTCTCTCTCTCTCTCTATATATATAGATAGATAGATAGATAGATAGACAAACAGACAAAGGGAACTGTAAGAGTGAAAAATAGCTATTACGTAAAGATGGCAAAATTATTTGTTCTTTTTTTTGGTACGTTGTAATTTAATGATACTGCCGTCAACTAAAAATGAAGAAGCAGTCCAGTTCTCTTTCACAACATGCCAAGACTAGTAGGTATCAGGATAGGAGACAAGGATGGAAACAAGTCTTATTACTGTGAAAATATTCCCCTAGCAAGGGGTATATTCCGGCTACAGCTTTAAGGGAAGAATACCTCAGACTCAGTTACAGCTTTGGTCTACTTTATGCAATAAGATGGGCCAGAAAAGCAAATTTCATGCAAAATAAATTGACAGAGTTTATATCTTCTTTTTAATGCCCTGGGAGAGCTAATTCAAGTCCTTCTAGGACGAATGCTTTTCCGAAAGAAATGGATCGCTCCTTCATTTCTATTCTGTTATTTAGATTTCTTTCTTTTTCAAACTCTAGGCTTGTTTAAAGAGAGGAGCATCTGAAACAGAAGTGCCAGAGAGAGATTTCGAGAGAGAGATGTCCTGGAGAGGGAGGGACGGCTCTCTCAGCGCTCTGGCGATGCGGCAGGATGCAGCAGTCACGGAAGGCGCTCCAGAGCTCAGCGCCGTTCTGCGGATTCGCCTCCACTAGGCCAACCACAACCCACGAGGGATGCCGAAGCCGCTGCGTCCCGGGTGAAAGCCTGTGATCCGGCAAGAAGGCTCAAACCCCGCATGAGGGGGAGTGCCAGAGGCGACCATCGTTTCCTTTTTAAGGGCAGGAAACATAGGGTTCAGGCAGAGCACCAGGGGCAGGTCTGTGGGTGGGCGGTTGGGCCTGGACGTCCAGGACACCTCCAAGGGGCTCTCCTCCCCACACAACAGACCATCAGGCAGCTGTCCCCCGAGTGAGGCGGAGCTCTAAGCCCTGTGTGGAACGCAAGGTGCAGAACTCCATGTATGCTGGTAACCATCTGCATGGAAAATTACAGCATGATCCGAAGGCCTGCGTTATCAGGGCTTAGCTGATCCCAAACAGAACCGGCACAGAGTAAATTACCTTAAAACGGAGACGTCCATTTCATGGTAAACAGTGTGCTTGTAGGGGGGAGGGGTTTGATTGGAATTTTGTCTTAGAAAAGGAAGCCAAAATTTATCTAAAATAACCTTATTTATCTTGTATTTAACCAAACTTTGTTGGTATTGTAAGCACACACTAATTCTTATAAGAAATAAAAATGACTGTGGATTTTTTTGAGTCAGTGTGATTTCCTTTCTTCCTAAATGGCGGCATGATACCAATGAAACGAGTTCCTTCATGCTCACTTTTTGCGAAAACATCCAGGGACTTTATCAATGTTTCTTCCTCACCCTTCGCTACCCAAGTCATGCTTTCTCCATGGAGTCATTATCCTAGCTGTTTTCCCCTCGTCGGTAGTTAACTAGTTTTGCTCCATCATATCACTCATCAGTGGCTTCGCGTGGGAATCGCGCGGCTCTCCAACATCACTTTCACTAACGCCATAAAATCCTACATTTTCGCCAAGGTTTGCAATTTCACTATGCAATTTATTTGCATTGTGTGTGTGAATTATTATTAGATGTTTAACCTCTGACCATCAAGGAAAGCCTGCCAAGCATTCAGTGGCCAGGGCGATGCTAAATGCGGATGGATTTCAGAGGCAGCTTCCAGACCCCATTCCCTCGTCCATCCAGAGATGGCGTCCTCCCCCTTTGCCTCTATCCTTCCCCTCACGTTGTGGCACTTGCTCTTTGGATAATGCACTCATAAGCAACATAGTACTTCACGTTCTTTTAAACTTTATTTAAATAGCATCACACCAAATGTATCCTTCTATAACTTGCCTTTTTCTTTTTTTGCTTAACACGACTTTTTGAGATTTATCAATATTGCTATGTGTGCTTTAGTGTTTGATTCATTTTCACTTCTCAGTATGTTTCATTGTCTAGCCTGTAATTTATTTATTTTTCTCCTGTTGATGGGCATTTAGGTTGTTTCCAATTTTCTTTTTTCTATCAGCAAACATTCTGCTACAACTTCTTGCACAGGTGTGTGAGTTTCTCTAGGGCAGTGTGGCTCTCACGTGCGGCCTCTAGACTGGGACGAAGCCACACCAGGCCACAACCAGGTGAGTACAAAATCTGAGAATAAACATTTAGAAAACTCTGTAGCAATTTGACGTTGCTGTGGCATCTTTATCATGTTTTTTAAAGGGTCAGTTCTCAAGAGATTGGAAATTTTACAAATTGGTCCTTCGCCACAGATTGAGGAGCACAGCTCTAGGAAATGAGCAGGGGAGAAACTGGTGGGTTGTAAGATGCTAGAGCATCTCCCACCTCACAGATGCCCCCAAACTGCTCTCCACAGGAATGGCACCAATTTATGCACTCGACTGCAGTGTCTGAGGACTCCTGTTGCTTCACAGTCACCTGAACTTTTGGAAACGTCAAACGTTTAAACTGGCGGTTTGACCTTTCCATTGCACTCCTGTTGGTATTGTTTAAACTTTCACGTAAGGGCCGACGCTTGGCTACCCACCGTTCTCCATCTGTCCAGCAGCATAGCCACTTTTCCCAGCTGTGCTGAGCAGGTAGCTGAAGGCCGTCTCCTTGGCACTGAGGTGGAGCAGCTGGCTGGCCTCCACGAAGCGCCTCGTGATGTCCAGGGGGTTGGCGCCCACTAAAGAAATCATCAAAGGCAACTCGTTCTCCTCCCAGCATGAGGCTGATGCTTCCAGAAAAGGACCTCCGCAAACGGCCCAGGAAATAGGGTAGAGTGAAGGTCGACTCCTCGGGCAGGCAAGTGTGCGGGGCTCCTCATGGAAGGGTCTCGAGCTCTCAAGCCCTGTCAGGTGGCGCTTTGCTCTCCCCCACCCTCACTCTGTTCTCTTCCCACCCGTAGGCCTGGGTACCAGCGCGGTTGGTGTTTAAAATAATGGAGCATCTAGAAGGTTGGATTATTCATGCGGCTTTACATCCTGGCCTTGCTCTTGGGATGACACCCTCATTGTAGACGGACCCCTGTTCTCATGACTCTCTCTGGTTCTGGCTCTACTGGGCTCTGTCTTGCTACCCACCGATCAGCCCTCCCAACTCGCCCCCTCCTCCTAGGTGCTGTCTCTCTCTACCTCCACATCATTGCCACCAACTCTATCCTTCAGTACCTCTGACTTCGCTCTGTTCTCCACAGCCAACCTTCCAATCTGCGCTCGGCACAGTTGGGGGAATGGGAAGAAAAAGAGGAGGACAGAGAGGGGTGAGAGGATGATTCTCGGGGGTGATCATGGGAAGGAGTTCAATTCCTACAGCAGACCCACGGCCGCCACCTATTCCCAGTGCATCCTTATATACCTGTCTCGGGTGGGTGCAGTGGACACACACATATTTGTCCAGGCCAGACCTTTCTGGGCCCAGAAAAAAGTAGAGAATAATCTGGCGAACCAGCCTTACCAGCCATAGACTCCATCATGACCTTCATCTTCAGGCTGAGCAGCTCTGTCAGCAGGTGGACGGACTGCCGCTGGAACTTGTGCAGGGTGTCCTGGGCGGAGGGCAGCAAATGGTCATGGGCGATGGAGAAGGTGAACTTGGCTGGCCTAGTGGATGTGGGCGGTGTTACTGGCGGTGGGGATTTCTTCTGGGTGGGGGCCGGCATGGGGGTCGATTCCATCAACACCAAGGGCGGGGCTCCCACGCTAATCTCCAGGCCCAGGATGTCAGATGCGGTAGGCACCATGGGGTCGGTGATGAGCTCCTCCCAAGTGAACTCAAAGATGTTTCTGATGCCCTTCGGTACAGAAATGCCTGCATTCCGGCAAACGATGAGCAGTTTGGAGATGTGGGCCAGCAGCTTGGGGGCCGTGACTGTGTACTGCCGGTACAGTTCTCTGTTACTCTTGATGTCGTTCATGTTGCTAGAGCGTGCATGCTGCTAGGTAATACTGTCCATCTCCGACAAGAGGGACTTTCAGCTGTAAAGAGACAGAGCACCCTGAGAGGTGAGTGAGAGCGAAAGTCCTTACCTAAGGTGAAGCCTTACAGACAGACAGAACAGCGGTCCTGTGCAGGAAGGAGAAGGAAATCATTGGTCACTCTCCCCCAGCAGGGCAAAGGGACGTCCCTCCTCTTTTTTCTTCCCAGGGACACCATCAGATAGACCCACATTAGGGAGTCACTTTGGGAAGGGCCTGGGGATAAGCAGGTTCCAGAAACGGTTCCAGGGACAGTCACACAAACTGAGTACCTACGGAGGGACCCTGGAGGCTGGAACGGGGAAGGGAGAAAGGTTCCACCACACCTTTTGTAGTTAGAGACCTGTGGGTGGAAAATCTGCTTGTGATCTACTAATAAGCCTGCAAAAACAAAAAGATGTTTCATTGGCTCTTTCTGGAAGAAGGTGACGCGGAAGACCCCGGCTGTAATGCAAGGATGGGCATGGAATTATTTAACACGTATATCCAAGGGCAGACAGGAAAGAATGAGAAGAATGAATTTGCTTAATTCAACAACTAATATCATTTGCCACATTTCATCAGATCTAAGATTTGATGTAATTGATTGTTAGATGCAATATTTTACAAGAAAGAAAAAAAATGAATGTAAAATGCCATTGACTATAAGATCTATCACAATTTCAGAGATGTTAAAATGGGAAAAATGCATGCCTTGAAATTGATAAGCTGTAATAACTATTTTCCCACTCTGACAGTGCTTCCTCAGGGTCTGGGTGCTCCTCAAGTGGACACATGTGGCTGTGACGTCAGCAGTATGCGTGCTTGTGTCTCGGTCAGTGACAGTGATTTTTACCCTGGCATATTTCTAAATTGCATTTTATTCTTACCTTCATGATTTATACCAAAAGAAGACCACTGGCTGAAGAGAGAGGGTACGAAGGACAATGTGATGAACACAAATGGCTAGAAAAATTCGCAAATAGACTTCTAGGGTTTTGTAGTCAGATCTGAAAGTTTCATTCATCTGATCAAAATGAACCCCATAAGGACTTCCTTCAGTAATTTATCAATCTAAAATACATCTACAAAACAGTATAATCACTTCTTGATCTTACGCCACATGACAGTGATTATTTATTTCTCTAAATTCCTGAGGGGCTTCGTGAGAATACGAGCCTCTGCAAAGATGCTCAAGAACCCAGACACATGGAAAGACTGGTCTAAGGTCATCTTAGAGCAGAGGGGTGGGTCCTCTCTGATGCCCTCTGCTGGCATTTGCGTGTGATGTCAGCAGCTGCCCCTGTCGTCTGACTTAACTGGCCCCAACCAGCACCCTTGCTAGTAATGTCGGCCTTCAGAGCAAAGGAAGGACCCCTGGCCAGCGCCTTCCAACAATCCTCGTTGCCACAGCCTTCCAACAGTTCTACCACCCTCCATCCTGACAGCCACTCCCCAGGTCCATGGCCATCCTATCCTGACACAGTCCTCATTCTTTCACTTTCAAACCCTGTCTGTCCTCTGCAGCTAATGTAAGTTTGCCACTCCAGGACCACATCCCGGGTGCACACCCTCAGCGTTCACAGAGCAGGTTCATGGCCGTGATCTTGTGCGACCAACTTGGGATGAGAAGGCTATTATCTCTCCGGTTTCACTGATGAGGAATCGGAGGCTTAGAGAGGGCGAGCGCTCAGTCAGGAGTTGCCTGTCTGCAGACTCCCGGCACAGACGCCTTTCCAAACCCCGCACTACTTCCCATTGCCGTCAAGCTGCCTCTGTCCGTCCATCAGCAACAAATCTCCAGGGAACAAGAGTCCCATAGAGCAAACCCTCCTGACATCCTGCTGGTTTTCAGATAAAGTGGCTTCCTCTGTCTATTTGCTGACCCGTGGCAGCTCTATTCCTCAGCTCTGGAGACTCGAAAAATAGGTTCGCTTTTGAAATGATAAGTCTACAGAACAAAGACACCACTCAGAATCCTGGGCATCTGGGCAGCCAGCCAGAGCGGCCTGCCCCTGGCCGCGCAGGGCAGATTGGGTTTGAAAGCCAGGACGCTAATGCAGAGAAGATGACGAACGCAATCCTTGAAACGTTGACTGGTTTGAGGAACTTCTCCCCACTCCGCACTAGTTTGTTTCTTTTGAGGCTAATTTTGAAGATATGTCTTACAAACAGATAAAAGCTGATTTTTAAAATAGCTTCTTTGAGATATAATTCACATACCATGCAAATCTTTTCAATCCTTTTTAAAGTGTACAATGATTTTTAGTATATTCAAAGTTGTGCAACCAACACTACTATCTAATTTTACAACATTTTCATCATCCCAAAAAGAAACCCATTAGCAGTCACTCTCCAGTCCCCCTGACCCCCATGCAACACTAATCTGATTGCTGTCTCTACAGATTTTCCTGCCCTGGACAATTCAGACAAATGGAATCAGACAACATGTGGCTTTTGTTGACCGGTTTCTTTCCCTTTGCAAAAGGTTTCTGAGGTTCATCCATGTTAGAGGAGGCATCAGTACTTCATTCATTCTTATGGCAGAATAACGTTCCACTACATGGATATACCACAATTTGTTGATGGATTCATGATGTGATGGACATTTTGGTTGTCTGCACTTTTTGGCTATCATGAACGGTGCTTCTACAATACTGCTTCACGTACAAGTTTCTGTGTGGACGTGTGTTTCATTTCTCTTGGATATGTATCTAGGGGAGGAGTTGCTGGGTCACATGGTAACTCAGTGTTTAACATTTTGAGGAACTGTCAGACTCCTTTCCAAAGTCCTGAGCCACTTCACATTTCCACCCCAGTATACGAGGCTTCTAATTTCTCCATGTCCTTGTCAACATTTACTATGTCTTTTTGATTCTAGTACCATCCCAGAGGGTGTGCAGTGGTATCTCGTTGTGGTTTGATTTGCATTTCCCTAACGACTAATGATGTTGGGCATCTTTCCATGTGTTTATTGGCCAATTTATATCTTCTTTGGAGAAATGTCTATTCCCATCTAAAAGCTGCTTGTTTGTTTGTTTTTTGAGGAAGGTTAGCCCTGAGCTGATGTCCACCACCACTCCTCCTCTTTTTGCTCAGGAAGATTGCCCCTGAGCTAACATCTGTGCCCGTCTTCCTCTATTTTGCATGTGGGACACCAGCTGATAAGCAGCATGTAGGTCCACACCCAGGACCTGAGCCAGTGAACCCTGGGGTGCCAAAGCAGAGTGCGGGAACTTAACCGCTATGCCACCAGGCCAGCTCCTAAACTCTGCACTTTTTTCCCAAAGAAATGCCATTTTATGTTAAATGCACAAATAACCTATATCTATTACTATTTATCTCTTCAAAATCCAGGTAGAGGTGACCACGTGACTCTCCTGGCCTCTGAGATGCAGGTGGAGCTGGTGGGTAGGACCCCAGGAAACCTTCCTAAAGGAGACTGCCCTCAGGAAGAGAACACTTTTTCTTTACTCACTGCCCTTCTCTTCCTTCTAGTCCGGAATGCATGAGATGGCTATAGCTCCAGCAGCCATTTGGAGCCATGATGTTACCTTGAGGAAGGAAGCCATGCGTTAAAGGCGGCCAAGCAGAGCGACAGAGCCTGGCTCCTCGTGACATCACCACACCCCACACCAGCACTTAACCGCCTACCTCCAAACTTCTTACACAGGAGAAAATGAACCCTGATCTCTCTAAGCTGCTCCATTCGGACCTCTATTCTTGTAGTCCAATGTGATTCCTGACTGACAACCAGCCGTGCTGGAACACCATCACTCCCTCTGCTCCAGTCCTCCAATTTTCACCCTGTCATTCATTCATTTTCCCATGACGGAGAAAAGGGCCCTGCCCTTGAGTAGCTTGACACTTAACAGGCAGAAGGGACTTACAAAATTGACTTATCAAATATATGATAAGGGTCACACTACAGAAAAACGTGCAAAAGCCATGAAAACCCAAAGAAAAAGGTGTAAAGGAAGAAGGACTGAAGCCTGTCATAGAAGATGAGTAGGAAGGGGCTGGGCAGACAGGAGGGAGAAGGCACGCTCAGCAAAGGACCAGGATGTACAAAGGAGCAGGCACACTGGAAGCGTCCTGGGTGCGGAGAACTGCACAACACATCAGCATGGCTGGGGTCCAGGGGAGAGCAGCAGGTGAAGTTGGAAATGTGGTCTAGAGTCAGATTGTGAAGGACCTTCTATGTCATGCTGAAGAATTTGCATATTAGAGGCCAGCCCTGTGGCCGAGTAGTTAAGTTCGCATGCTCCACTTCAGAGGCCCAGGGTTTTGTGGTTTCAGATCCTGGGCGTGGACCTAGTACATCTCATCAGGCCACGCTGAGGCAGCGTCCCACATGCCACAACTAGAAGGACCCACAACTAAAATATACAACTATGTACTGGGGGGATTTGGGGAGAAAAAGCAATTAAAAAAAAAAAAGAGAAGATTAGCAACAGTTGTTAGCTCAGGTGACAATCTTTTGGGGAAAAAAAGTATTTGCATATTATATAACCAAATACTCAATACAAATACACAGATGTATTGTCTTTAAATTGCTAGTTGCACCCACGTGGTAAGTCCCATCTCCGCAAATGGAGGGCAGAGACCATGTCTTTTCTCCCTTTTAGTGTTCATAACACCAAGTATGGTGCTGCCAAGTGCCAGAAACTAAACACGGTCAGCCTGAGAGACCCACGTAGACAGCTTTAAACAAAGCTCCAAGACACAACTCCCACGAAGAAATGACAAACCTGGACAGGAGGTTTACAAAGCACTGCCTCCATTCAGTAACCTGCGCAGGTCTCCTCTGCTGCAGGCCAGGGGCAGGACGGGGACAAAGGCGGGGCACTTACACGAGGCCACGACAAGTGCTCTCTGTAAGCAGAAGGGAAGCCCAGAGGAGGCAGTGTCATGGGCGGCTGAGACCTCGGGCTGCGTGACCTTCAGCCCAGCGCTGACCTAGGTGATGTTCTCAGGGGCTCTGTGTGGACACTAGTGCCACCTCCCAGGACCACGAGGCTTAAGTGAGGTGTGTGTAAAGGGTTGGCACAATGCCTAGTACAGAGTTAAGTGCTCAATGAATGTAAAGCAGAAAAAGGTAGTTATTTGAAGCGGTCAAAGGAGGCTGCACAGCAGAAAGGACAGAAACTGGTCTGGAAGTAGTCGACCAGCCAACAAGAAAAGGAAGTGCGTTCCAGGCGACAGGACCAGCACTTGTTCTAGCTGGAGGCTTTAAGCAGCTTGGCGAGTTTGGGGGGCTGCAGGTAACCAGATGATGCTACAGGCCGGTGTGGATGGGGAAGGGCGTGCGTGGGAGGGTGGGCGGCGGCCAGCTGAGGGGAGCCTGTGTAAAGCGCCGAGCCCGGACTTCACCTTGCAGGTGATGGGAGGGCCTCGAAGGACTGAGCAAGGGCGGCATCTGTGCTGAGGGTGCTCCTTCCAGGGGCTGGCAGCGCAGCGGGAAGCAGTGTGAGACGCACAGCTACCAGGGGGACCAGCCAGGAGGTGAGCTGTGCCCACAGCACCCTGATTCCTGCCTACGTAAAAGGGGATTTCAGGCCTAGGTGCACCTGGAAAGGTACTTAAAAAGCACAGACACAGCAAACTGCCACCAGGGGTACCCAGTGGGGCACAAGTAGAACAGGAGTGAACAGGGGAAAGCTCTGAACAGGCGTGGGGTAACTAAGTGCTCTTGACTAGAACGAAGCTGAGGGGAGATTCGGGTATACATTTACTAGAAAAGGGCATACTGCCTTCCCTTTACTGGCACAGATCCAAGAATACAGTTTTGGGTAGAAATATATAGAGCTGGATACTTAAAAACAAAATTAAACTTAGCTCCCTCAGGTTATCCGGTCCTGGTATTCTTCGCTGGTTTCTGGCTCTCCCTGGTTTTAATCAGAAATGCTTTGATAAGGACAGAAAGCCGTCCAGAGGTAACTGCGTGACCGCAATCCGGGAGCAAGTGCAGCTTCAGGCTAGCACAGGCATGAGAACAAGCCCTCACACGACGCAGGAAAGAAGTGGAGACGGGACTAGGAAAATCAACAGACGCTGTCCTCTTAAACAACGTTCTGGGAAGGTGCCTGACTTCTCCAGCAGAAGAGAGGAAGGAAGAAGGGCAGAGCTATAGAAACAAGCGGATCTGAGAGCAAGCAGAGGTGTGCCACGCGCAGAGGAGCAAGCTCAACGGCCCGCTACTGAGTAAGGTTTCTGTGAGACTGGAACCTCACTGTCACCGCTGGTCCAGGAGAATTCACGTGCAAACCACCGGCATCCTCCACCAGGGCGATTTACTGGCACCAAGGGCCCTCCCCTCGTTAAGGCAGGTCTCCCGCTAAGACCTATGGAGAACATAAAAATGACCATCCCGTTGACCCAGTGATCTCAGCTCTGAAAGTAACGCCCAAGGGGATGGTGGAAACAGGGAGCGGGTACTCGGACAAAGGTCAACGTTGATTAAACCAAACAAGAAGATGCTCACATTCCTAACAGTGAAATAACGCAGCCAGCCAACAACTGAGGAGGCGTTGAACAACGGGGTATGTCAGCTTGATGAAGTATTAGGCAGCAATTAAATGTAAGTGAGCGGCTCAGTTTTAGAAACAACGTTAAATGAAAAGAAAACCAAAGAAACAAATGGGATGTTTACATTGAGCACACATCACATAAAAACCCACGCAGATCCTGCTGGGAGCAGAGGTACAAATCATCTTTTCAGGTAGACATGATTATTTTTGGAAAGAAGACAATAAAACACGGGCCCCCTGCAAAGACAGCACCACTGCTCTCAGACACGCCTGTGACTCAGGAGACCGGGGCCGGGCACAGGCCCACGCTTCTGTTCTGGTTTTCATGAGCAACCCTGACCCACCAGGACTGGAGGTGTGGAGCGGCAAGGCACAGGCCGGGGGGAGCGGGGTCAGGCGTCTTAGACCACACCCCGTGTTCAGGCTCAGGGAAGCCTGACTGCTGATGACGACCCAAGAGAAACGGAATACAACGTACCCCAGGGAAAACGCTTACAACCAGGCAAACTGCCACCAAGCAGGTGGCTTTCCAGAGGCAGGGAGAACGTAGCTGTTAAAATGTGGTAGAGGGGCTGGCCCTGCGGACAGGTGGTTAAGTTCGCGCACTCTCCTTCGGCCAGCGCGGATGTGGCACCGCTCATCAGGCCATGCTGAGGTGGCGTCCCACATGCTACAACTAGAAGGACCCACAACTAAAATATATAACTATGTACCAGGGGGATTTGGGGAGAAAAAGCAGAAAAAAAAAAGATTGGCAACAGTTGTTAACTCAGGTGCCAATCTTTAAGGAAAAAAATGTGGTAGAGAAAGAGCTGTGTAAACTGAGGGTGAAAAAGATTAATATTTCCACTCCCGGCACTGGACAATCTCACATTTACTAGGCACGAATACATAAATGCAGCCCCGGATGTATGAAGAAACATGGCAGCAGAAGATCAATACCAGGCCTGGGGGACGTTTTCACTAAAACACCCTGCTTCATGTCATTATTGTCATTTTCCAGCTCTCCCAGACAACCACCTACATCAGTTGCATCACGCTCCCGGCCCCCCAAGCCCACCCCAACACACACACAGAAATATGAAGCCAGACGCCCACAATGCACACGAGTGTAGCGCCGCCCCCCTCCCCCCCCTCCCCCCCCCCCACCGCACCAGCTCACAGGGCAGGCGGGAGGGCCATGGAGGGTTCCTTCCCTCTCAAGGTCTTCAGAGGTCAACAGACCCTTCCCAACTATCATCACTTACCTTAGCCATATAGGTTTTCACATGAGCTGCTTGACGTATAACTTAGTTCAATTTCCTGGCTGAAAAAGAAACTAAACACATATGGCGTGGCTACTCTGCGTGTATTAACTCTAAGACCAGGAGTAACCGCCACTCCAAATTCTAAATTCTGCCACCTCACCTGTATGTCACAATAAGGTCAGCTGGAAACCACCCCACAGCTGCACGGCCTTTAGGAGGAAATAAATTCTCACAAGTCTTTGGGAAATATACAGCTAAACATAGCCGGAATCTCATGTATATGGATTTACAGTTTCTCCTTAGGGAATTTTGCAAACAAACAGAATGATTTATTTAGCCAATTCAGACGAAATGTATCAAAACACACAAAGGCCTGGAGAAAAGATTACAATGAAAACAAACAGAGCAATTTCTGATAGGGAACATTTTGCTGAGCTCTACAAAGAGTGAACAGGGAGCGGTCACGGTTTCCAACAGCTTTCACCACTGCTTGCTCCCGAGGCACCCACAGCCCAAGACCTGCGCGCTGACTGTACGCCTGGGAGACGAGGTTGGCTGATCCTTCCTGCACCACTGGGAGCATCGCGCAGGCAGACCGCGAAGCACGAGAGAACAGGTCACTGGGCCATGCTGGGCAGCACAGCAGCACTGGACACGGGAGGTTCCTGAGCATCTGAAACATGGTTAGCGTGACTAAGGAACTAAATTTTAATATATCAATTTAAATTTAAAACTTGCTAATTCAGTTATTGGCAAACTTTTAAATATGTTAAAGTATGTTTGGAACAGCTTGGGTATTTGAATCCAGTATAATTTTTCAAGTATATTTTATGAAATCTAAATACAGATCAAGTATCCCTGACGAAAATTTAGCATCTGAATTGAGATGTGCTGCTGTAAGTAGATATACTGGATTTTGAAGACTAGATGTGAAAAGAAATGGAGAACATCTCATTAATAGTTTTTGTACATTGATTAAATGTTGAAACGCTATTTTGGATATACTGGATTAAAGGAAGTGTATCATAAAATTAATTTCACTTTTTTAATGTGGTTCCTAAAAAACTGAAAATGACACAGAGGCTTACATCATATTTCTATGGGGCTGCGCTGTTTTAGAGCATGGATCTGAAGTCTTGAGAACTCTAGTGCCATCTGCTGGATACACGGGTACAAGACAGGCCTGTGAGAAACCGTGTGTCAACACCAACTCTGGGTCTGAAATGGAAGATGTAACAAGTGGGCTCACAAAATACTAAACTAAATAAATGTGTGCTAAGAGGGGATCAGAAATAGGTTCATACAGTCTTTGAAATCCTAGATAAAATAAAACTTACAGTTATTAGTCAACAGTGACAGTGAGGCAATGTGCACGGAAGGCTCTGCCGTCCACCCCAGCTGCCCCGGACAGGAACAAAAGGTTATTTGGGAGCCCTTTTGTGACCAGTGGTCCCATAATCCTGGGCATACTGCTGCCCAACTAGTCTTCCCGACCCTTCTCTGTAATCTGCTTTTCGAGTCCTTCTGTTCTACCTTATAAACACATCCTCTTTCCACCATTCTCATATTTGTTTACTGGTTTCCTTCTTCCCTTTTCTATTTTTTATGATTCTAGAATATCTAATAATTCTATCTTTTCAGTATTCCAAACTTTTTGTCTCTTCTCCCTTTGTCCTACAAGCTGTTCCAGTTGGTTTTTTAGTTTCAGCTCTTACATTTAAGTCTTTGATCCATTTTGAGTTGGTTTAATATATGGTGTGAGGAATGGGCCCAAATTCATTCTTCTGCATGTGGATAGTTAGTTGCCCCAGAATCATGTGCTGAAGAAACTATTCTTCCCCCATTAGATGGTCTTGGCCCCACTGTCAAGAATCAATTGGCCAGATATGTATGGATTTATTTCTGGACTCCCACCTCTATTCCATTGATCCATATGCTTATCTTTTTCTCAGTACCACCCTGTTTTGATTCCTGTAGCTTTGCAGTAAGTCTTGAAATCAGGAAGTATAAGTCCTTCAACTTTGTTCTTCTTCAATATTGTTTTTGATATTCTGGGTCCTTGCAATTCCATATAAACTTTAGGATCAGCTGATCAATTTCCGCAAAAAGGTAGCAGTCTTTTAAAATGAATATTTAAAAGAGGTATTTGCCTAATTAGGCTGACAGAACGACCATTAATAGGACTGCAATTTTGCCTATGACATGGAGGTTAGAGGTTAAGTTTGCAACAATTTGCAATTTTTGTCTAATACTGCTTGATACTGGGGTAGCAAGACCGAGAAAAGAGAGCACTGGAGAAAGCACGAGTCTGGAACAAATATGAGCCTAAACAAACTGCATTTAAGTTCCAGACCTGCCACTTAGATGCCACATAACCTTGGATGAGTCGCTGAGCCCCTCTGCACTCCAGTTTGCAATCTGTAATGAGAATGGGGCACTCCCACCACCACCAAGACTGCTCGTCACTGAGCCCACGGGACGGCAGGCTCCCTCGGCGCTTGAGGGTCTGCTCTAGCATGTTCTTACAGGACTCACGGCGTGGGAGGGGCCACAGGAGCCCTGTGGGCCTGGTTGGCCAACTCCTACTGCTTGTCTGCAGCTGTCAAGAGGACACTGAGGTGTAGCAGGCAGAGGACGGGGACGGAACTCAGGCACAGGAAGTCCCTCTGGAGCCCTGCTCAGCCACCCACGGTTAGTAAAGAGGAAGGGACCTACCTGCCCCTCACTCTAGCCCAAGTCTACTCCCGTCAGGCTCCTGAGGCGACTCGGCTCCGAGAGTGATGAGGGCCGAGGGCAGGAGCAGCAGGAGGCAGGGGAAGCTGACTGACTAACTCCTACAGCCAAAACGTATCTGGCTGCCTGACAGGCCCCACAGCCTCCACACGTGGCCCGGTCATTCAGTACACACTTACTGAACGCCCACTACAGCCGGTGCTGGGAACTGCCACTTAGGATGGATGACAATACAAGTGACTGACTCCCACTTCTCCGGCTCTGGAGGACAAAGTTCTCCTCCCTCGTCTCTTTTATCTTTCAAATGCTATTGCTGAACAGCCCAGCAGCTTCAGGGTCCTCTTGGAGACCAGATCACTTTGCCTCCCACACAGTGTCCCCCAGTTTGCCACTGTTTGACAGTCAAAAATTCCTCCTGAGAGAAGCTCTATCAACTCATCTGGAAGCTGAATCCTTGAAACAAGGCCATCTCCATGCTAGTATTTGCAAAAGAAAAGGAATGGAGCCCATAAATCTGAATGAGCCATGGGAATGGGGACAAAACAGAAAGGGTTACAAGCTCCTCGGTGCCAAAAAATACAGAATATTTCTACTCTATCACAGCTTACACACACGTCCAGATGAACATGTCTCCAGACCAATTAAAAGAAATGAACAGCCAAGTGGCCACAGAGTTCCCACAGTAACATTCATTTTCTTCCTTGCTGACAAATCCAGCCTGAAGTTTCTGTTTTCCAGGGAAAGGACAGGAGGAGAAAGGTACAATTCAGTCCCTAATGTTACTTTCCCCGCTCAGAGAGAGGAAGGCACCGTCAACAGTAGGAACCCAAGTCCGAATGTTTGTTAAGTTCATGTCACTTGTTTATAATATGATATCATATCATCAAGAGTTTCGAAAGTGACCGTGGGGGCTCGTGGTGGGCTGCTGGGGGCAGGAGAGGATGATGTGCGCGAACAGCCAGGGTCGTGGCCGGGGCCCGAGTGCTGGCCCAGGTCAGTCTGTGCAGGCGCAGGTCTGCTCCACGTCTGGCTACTGAAAGAAGCAGTTCTCTTTTGACCCACAAAGTAATCGGATGGTGGGGCAAACTCGGGATCTCTCTCAGCCCGGAGATCTGACTGCCTCTTCGACCAGTACCCAAAGGAAAATTCTAGAAAAAAGAAGAAAGAGTATTATTAGAACTGATTATTGAATCAGTTGAATTTTTACTCTTACTTTTTAATAATCATCGCATATATTTCTTAAAAGCCACCTCCAATTCTCTGGAGAACAACGATAGCAATAACAAAACTATAATACAAGGTATATGCAATGCCTACAAAAGCAGGAGGACCCAGGCTAAGGAAAGGGAGTGACTACTTCCCGATGAGGAAAGATCTGAGGAAGGCTCTATGGAGAAGGCAGGCTGGTAGGCTCTGGAAATAGCACATCTGAGAGAGGAATACAGAAAAATCAAACACCCACATCATTTGGTTGACGTGATGCTGTAGGTATTTAACATTAAAACACAAGTTTCGTCCTTTACTGAGTTTTAGAAGACACAAAAGGCACCTGTGCATATCTGATTTGGTATTTCATCTCTATTTCTACCAGCAGCATAACCAAAGGCACTCTCCTGTTTGCATGTCTTTTACTTTGACCTTGCGTCTCATCAGCTGGAAGAGCATGAGCTGATGCACTTTCAAGAGGCATAAACCACAGTCTTCCTCCAAGGAGAGGCTGCTGTGGGCACCATGGTTTATTTACAGAAAATTTTGCATAACTCAATGGAACCATATGTGAATCCAGGTTAATACTCTAGAATGCAGACTATTTTCAACTGAATATAAAAGAGAGTGCTAAAAACAGAGGACATTAAAATACCAAACCTTCCTAAGATTTTAAAAAGCAGTTCCTGAGAAATGGCCTTCCAAAGCTGTAAAACCATGAGGGCAACAAGAATTTTAAAAACTTCCCCCAATCGCTTCTAAAACAGAAATTGCCCTCTTGACATGACGTGCTGTAGACTAGATCTGGTCTTTTGTAATCACACTTTCTAGTGCTCCTGTTTACAGGCAGTGTCTGGGTATCAGGAAGAAACAAGTTCAAGGGTCTGGAGAGCTCCTTAAGCCTCAAAGGACCACTAAGACTCAGCAGAACCACATTCTTGTCAGGAGAACCAGAAAAATCTCCTGTGCAGGGCCCATCACTGGAAAGGGTTTGCACCTTGGAGCCCAGCCACCTACCTTTTCCTCTGTCCCACTCCCGGACGTGTGGCACTCCAGGCCTGGTGTCCTTCCTCTCCTCAACGATCACTTCTACTTTGCTACTCTGGGCAGCAGCACGCGGAGTCGGCACGGCCTCTGGTTCCGGTGGCAAAGGCCCAATCACACCTCCACCTAGTTTTTGTGGGAGAATGAGACATCACTATAACAAAGCTAAAGCTATTCAAAAAACAACCGAATATGAACTAGAACATGCTGATCCTGCGAAAGGTACTAACTAGTATTTACTGAGCACTCACCATGTCCCAGGCAGGGGGCTAAGTGCCTGCAGACAGTAGCTCATTTCATCTTCTAACAACCCTTGGAAAGTCAGTATTAGTAACCCCATTTTACAGACGAGGAAAATTAACCTCAGAAATGCTATGCAGGTAGATAGAGACAAGAGCCAGGATCCAAACCCAGGTCGGTTGGATTTCAAAGTCTCTGTTTTCCACAATATCACTCTGCTTCCCCAGACCAACAACTGCAGGACCAGAAATCCCCAATTAGTCAACTAAGAGTCCCAGACAAAGCAAGGGGACTTAGGGTGAGGAAGAGCTGGAGTCTGGTGACAGGCTGCAGGCTAGTCAACTTTGGCCATATTTGAAAAGAAAATGGACTTTTTAAAAACACTGTAGTGGCGCTTCACATCTTGTGGAGATGACAGACGTTCAGGAGTAGAGCCAAAGAGAGAAACACTGTGCAGAGCGTGCTACAGGGAGACAGCATCTATATGGAGACCACACAGACGGTTTCCGAGTCCCTAAGTGTTTCTGGGCTCCTTTCAAGGCTAAACTGACGCTGAAGTCAGAATTAGAAAATGGCCCACACTCAGCACACGGCTTCAGGAGAGCGGAGAGGCGTCTCTGTGCCCCTAACACCCACACTCCCCTTCTTCCTTTTGGGACTAGAATGCCCCCAGTGTCAGTTGGGTACGTGCCCACCCTGCTAGACAAGCCATTCCCCAGCCTCCCCTGCAGCGAGCGTGGCCCATGGACCGCCTTCTGGCCAGCGGGATGTAAACGCACAGGCTGTATGTGACCTCAGAGGCACACTGCTAAAAGGGAAGCTGGTTCTCCTCCCCTCTGCCCGCTTCCCCGCGGCTGGATCACGAACACGTGCTGGGGAGCAGGCGGGGACCACGCAGCTGGGAACAACACTCTGGGGCCGGCAGAAACAGGGGGACAGGAGGCAGCCAGGGACTGGGTGACAATCTGGGGCAGAGCTGCTACCTGCCTGGACACCCACC